AATTTTAGGTAATCCATGATTTGAATTTTTTGTAAATTTGTGTATTTTTTTTTTTAATCCATGATCGAATTTTTTTTTGTAATCCATGATAGAATTTTTTGAAAATTTGTGATTTTTTTTTTAATCCATGATCGATTTTTTTGAAAATTTGTTATTTTTTTTTTTTAATTCCATATTATTCAAAGAGAAAATGAGAGAGATGATGATTCTGAGGCCACCCTATCCCAGCCATATTATTCACATATCGAGTCCCAACAGCAACAGTGTAGAGATGAGCACGAAATACTGTAAATTAAATGCTGAATGGCGGTTCATGTAGGGAAAAAACATATCAATATTCGCATATTCATTCAAAAACATGAAAATTCTTAATGGAGTACCCTCATTTTTTATTGAATTCCTAAAAAACAATATTTATAATAAATTTTAATAATTTTTTCAAATTTTTTTTAAGCTTTATTCTGACCCAATGGTTTAAAAAACAGATCGGTGACCCGGATCGGGCTTCCAAAAAACCGATCCGGATCGGCGAATCGGCGATCCGGATCGGGAATCAGGTGAATCGGTCAGAATAAAGCTTAAAAAAAATTCGATCATGGATTACAAAAAAACAAAAACAATTCGATCATGGATTACAAAAAAATCGATCAAGTATTACAAAAAAATACAAAAAAAAATAAAAATAAAAAATTAAAAATAAAAATAAATAAATAAATAAATAAATAAAATTGTACGGACTCGCCGATTCACTGTTCGGACTCGCCAATTCCGTATAGTGAATCGGCGAGTCACTGTGCGGAATCGTCCGGTTCTCTCTAAAACAGGACGATTTCCGATTTTTCAACCGATCCGATCCCTTTTCGCGAATTCCGAGTCGAACCGGGGGTTATGACCGATTCACCCGATTCCCGATCCGGATAGCCGATTCGCCGATCCGGATCAATTTTTTGGAAGCCCGATCCGCGTCACCGATCCGTTTTTTAAACCATTGGGTAGAAGCCAACTATGCTGAGCAAGATATACCTCGGCCTAACATCGAAATTTCCTACAAGTCTAGGGCTAAATTAGTTCTTTCTCTAACCCCTATAAATAGGCCCTATTTGTGGCCACAATTTCAGCGCTCCATTCCCATGCTTGTGGTTCCCTGTAACAATTTGCTCGCCATTAATGCGTCCACAATTCCTTCCCCTCTTCCCAGTTCTTCTTCTATGGAAATTTGCAGAAGCTCATTTCTCTTTGTGACCACTTCGTATCACCTCAAATTAAGAAAAAATGGAGTTATTACTTGTAGAAGCAAGAAATCAGCCCTGGTCGAGGGGCCTTCGTGTGTATTCGTTGGCCCCATAGAGACTGCAAGTGTTGATAGGCTTGAAGCTCTCTATCAACAGGTGGGGATTTTCATTTTTAGCTTTTGAAATGCTGAAATCATTGCCGCATGACTGCGTTTACTCTGTGCGATTGTGGATTTTTTAGGAACCAATTGGTGAAATCTTCTGAAGTTTTTAGTCTTTGAGTTACTGAAATTGCTTCCCATGTATCTTCATTACCACGGTGAAACGTTATAGTAGTTGAGCTCAATTAAGTGTAGGGCCTGTTTGGACGTGCTCATTACCACTGATAATGCACTGCTTCAATAAAGTTAACTCTGATAATGAGTTATTGGTTGTTTGGCTGTCTGTCAAAAAGTTTCATATAGAATTTTATCTTTTTGAAGAGCTGTTTTTACTTTTATTCATAGGAATATATTGAACACCACATGTTCTTAACCAGAAATAACTAAAAACAGTTGAAAATCATGATAATACTATACACAATACAAGAAACGTACCAAACAGCTAACAAAATAACTTTATTTAAACTCTAGAGTATATTAATTTCAGGTTCCGGATAAAATTGATCGTCATCCAAAAAGGTCCTTAATTTATTCCATCTGAAAATAGTGGAAATTAAGTTCAACTACATTACTACTTGTGTTATGTCGTAAACTATGTAAAACTTTGGTACAATAACTTTTTGAAAGACTCGAACTACGGAAGTTGTTAGGTAGATGGGATTGCTCTTGATTGAAACGTATTATTTATCATACCACATTTCTTGCTTTGAGAGTAAGTCTGTTGTACGGAGTCCCAAATCTCTCTCGCAGTTCCAAGGAAGGAACAGAAAACCCCTTCTAATCGATTGTTGCATGCGCGGTCCGAAGGAACATAAAACCCCTACTAATCCAATGTTGCATGTGAGGTTTTTATTTCAATCATGACTAAACTTAGGATATATTATTAAGTTATCCATTGGACACTAAAAAGTGGCATATGAGGCTTTGAATACATCCCAAATCCTTGCTATGATCTTGGCAAATCTCCATTGGGAATTCAAACCCTCCCTTTAATTTATTGGTGGAAGTCAAACCCTAGTTGGCCATTACCCTGCTGCATTCAAGATGATTGGGCTACTCATGGTATCCAAGCCTACCATTTTCCTCATGGTTTGACTCTCTTGTTGGAAAAACCTATCCCAGTTTTACTTTTCCAACGACTCTTGCATATATCTCCGGCAACATCTTCCTATTGTGGCTGATCATTGTTGTTTTTTTCCCACATCATACACGAGTCTGTACAAGCTTTCAGTGAAGTCTTTGATTGTAGGTTTATATATGAGTGTGTGCAATCTTCTCGAGCATTTGCTGTTGTTTTTTTCTTTAGTGCAAATTTGTGCAAGCTTCTAGTGCATCTGGTGATTGTGGGTTTGTGCACATGTTTAAGCAATCTCTTAAGCCGTTGCAACTGCTTTTGTGCACGAGTTTGTGCAAGTTCTTGAGTGGTTGCGTCTGTTTTTTTGCGTGCACGAGTCTATGCAAGTTCTTGAAGTAGTTACTATTGTTTCCTTTTGTGCACGAGCAAGAATTTGGCTGCTGTTTTCGTACACAAGCAAGTTATTGGAGGAGATACTGCTATCTTTTGTGCACAAGCAAGTTTTTTACTGCTGTTTTTTTGTGCATATATAAGTTTTGGTGTTACCCTCACGGCAATAGGCCAACTCTTGATTGGTAAAGAATTAGTTCCTTCAAACGGCAAGCAATGGGAACAATGATGCAATTGATACATCGAACGAGATTCTTACAGTCCCTTCAGCATTTTGTTTACATCATTTAGGCAATCTAGATATCATTTTGGTCACAAACCCTTTAGTTGGTGATAATTATTCTACTTGGAGATGAGCCATTTGGAAGACCTTAAGTGCCAAAAATAGATGAGGTTTCACTGATGAGACGATCTCTGAACCTGAAATTGGCTCCTACAAGTATGGACTGTGGCAGCAATGCAATAAAATAGTTCATTCTTAGATCGTGAATACATTTTTAAGACCTCTTTCAGACAATGTGATTTATATTGAGACGGCACGAGGCGTGTTGTTCAAGGTAGCAAAGGCTTTCCCAAATCCATGTACCTCGAAAGTTTGAACTCAAGAGATGCATAGCTACATAGCAATGTGAGCAATGTCGTGTTGAATATTACTCCACACTTCAAAGTTATTGGGACGAACTCGCGTCCTAGGCCGCAAGCGATTTATGAGATATATGGCAGTGAGCACACATTCTCCCCAAAAATGCAACGGTAAATTCATTTGGAAGCACTAGGCTCGGGCTACTTCCAACAAGTGACGGTGCTTGCATTCAGTCACCCCATTTTGTTGAGGGGTGTCGACACAAGTTTGTTGATGATGGATACCCTGTACTCAAACAAATTTCTCCATATCTTGAAAGAAGAACTCAGTCCCGTTGTTAGTTCGAATTTGTTGATGATGGATCCCCTGCACTGAAACAAATTTCTCCATATCTTGAAAGAAGAACTCAGTCCCGTTGTTAGTTCGAATTTGTTGAACCTGATGTTAGAATTGAGTTTTTACCATGATGCAAAACAATTTTAAAAAATATGTCGTTTTAGACTTATAAAGCATCAAATAAACCCATGTGCAATGCGAATAATCATCTACATTAGTAAATTTATAACTCCCCCAGATATCATAACAAATCAATTTAACCCTAGATATCACAATAAATCAATTTAAATGGTTCGTGACATCTATTGGTATTAATGAAAAAAGGCAACCTTGTATGTTTTGCCAAATGGCACACATCACAATTATTCAAGCAAGAACATAAACTAGCAAAATCAGGAGAACAACGAGAAAGTCACTGCATATATAGGTTAGGACTGGGTTTTCTTTTCGAATAGCTGGCAAGGCTGATAGTGATGGAGATTGGACATTATAATATAGTCCATCACAAACTTATCCCACTCCAATCAGCTTCTTTGTGGCAAAATCATGAAATACATAGAAAGTTGGGAAAAAAATAGCAGCACAATTCATCGATTGGGTCAATTTGCTAATGGAAAGCAAGTTTAACTTAAATGATAGAACGCATATGACATCAAATAATCTCAGGTGAACAATTTCTTTGTGTGTGATGGGTTGTGTGTGTTTGGTTGGCAATTTGACAGGTCACGTGCTTGATATTGTGGTAGTGTCAAAAAGGGCAGAGAGGTGGGGCGTCATGTGTTCTGATGCCCCACTATCAATGGTCCAAGGTTGTGCAAATGTGCATGACAAGCGATAGTACTTGCTAGGTTGTCAGAGGTGGAAGTAGAATCAACCGAAAGAAGGTTCAATAGTTGTTTATATTGTTCGGCGGTAAGTCCTGGGAAAGGAGAACAAGCAATTGCGGCAACATTAGGCACCGTGCTAGATGCATCAACATGGACTTGTATAGCTCGTGACCCAGCATAAGTGCTCGCTCTTTGCCTCTGCCTGGATCGTTTCTGCTTGTTCCAATTGGGTGGATGTTCGATAATTTCAAAACAACGTGCCTTATTGTGGTCGAACGCTCTACGATGTTTACATTTTTCTTTGCTCTTACTTTTGGCTCCTCTTGTATCTCGCGAACCCGAGGGGCGGCCGACCGCAAGAGCAGCCGCATCTGGGTGTTGGGCGTCATTTGTAAAAGCCGTCTCTTCTCTTGTTGAATAAGGATAGAGCAGGTTTCACCAACCATTGGCAACGATTCCATAGTAAGAATTTGGCTCCGGAGAGCCCTAAAAGACTCATAAAGCCTATTAGGAGCTGGTATAACTTCTCCTCTTTGTCATCCACTTTCTTGGAATTAGTGGCGTAGGACGCGAATTTGTCCCAATAAGTTTTAAGTGTGTAGTAATATTCAACAAGTGGACATTGCTCCTATTGCAATGTAGCTATGCATCTCTTGAGTTCAACCTTTCGAGGTGCATGGCATTGGGAAAGCCTTTGCTCAAGGTCGAGCCACATGCCCATTGCCATCTTAATATAAATCACACTGTCCGAAAGAGGTTTTGAAAATGTATTTACAGTCTAAGAATGAACCAGTTCATTGCATTGTTGCCATAGTCCATACTTGATGGAGCCAATTTTAGGCTTAGAGACCGTCCCATTGATGAAACGTAATTATTTTTTGCACTTAAGGCCTTCCAAATGGCTCATTTTCAAGTAGAATAATTATCGCCAACTAAAAGGCTTGTGACCAAAGTGATACCTGAATTGGCTTAATGATGTAAATAAAAAAGAGACTGTGACAATCTCGTTCGATGTATCAATCACATCATTGTTCCCACTACTGGCCATTTGAAGAAGCTAAGTCGTTGCTCGATCAATGGAAGAGCTAGCCTATTGCCAAGAGGTTGATACCAAAACTTACTCGTGCACAAAAAAACAACAATAAGGAACTTGCTTGTGCACAAAAGATAACAGTAACTACTCCAAGAACTTGTGGTGTACGAAAACAATAGTCAAATTCTTGCTCATGCACAAAAGGAAACAACAATAACCACTTCAAGAATTTGCACAAACTTGTGCACTAAAAAAACCAACAACAACCACTCAAGAATTTGTAAAGACTCGTGCACGAAGGCAGCTGCAACGGATTAAGAAACTGCTCAAACTTGTGCACAAAATCGTAGTCACCAATTGCACTACAAGCTTGCACAAATTTGAACTAAAAAAAATAACAGCAAGTGCTAAAGACGACTGCATAAACTCGTGCATAAACCCGCAGTCACAGATTGCATTGAAAGTTTGTACAGACTCGTGCAAGATGTGGCAAAAATACAGTAGCAATCAACCGACAATCAGAAGATGTTGCTGGAGATATGTACAGGAGTCGCTGGAAAAGTAGAATTGGAATAGATTTTTCTGGTGAGAGAGTCAAACCATGAGGAAAATGGTAGGCTTTGATATCATGTTAAATTTTGGAGAATCGTGTGCATTCCATTGAGTAGTGCAACATTGCCCAATAATCAAAGTTTCTAAAAATGATCTCACAATATCCTTGACTCCTTGTTATACACCAGACTTTGATAGTTGGTCACTTGCATGCAATTCATAATGCGTTTGAATTTTGTTGTTAATTTTTGTTTATGCCTTGGAACTTGCACAGAATGGTTACTCCAGCTGCCAGTTGCATATTTCTGCTTGTTGGGTAATGTTGATGGGCCATCCTACTCACATTTTGCATCATCTATCCTACTGAATGATGCCTCACAGGAATGCTAGTCGTTATATCATACTCGACGATGGTTTGCTGGATTCTTTGTTGTCTTTGTTATTTTCCATTTAGTTTCCTCAAGGAAATATCTAGTCCTTAAACAACATTGTTCTTTTCCTAAGATGATGAGAAGTTGACAATACGCAGCAGCAATGCCTAAAAGTCCATTATTCATGTACCCTTGTACCATTTAGCCATTGACCTAGTGTTCCGCTTATGCTCACAAACCCTTTAAAGAAGTCCGTTGTTCCTATTTGATGAAAAATATAATGATTGTCTTGTTGATGGGGCGGTAGAAAATGGCGCAATGGATATTTATCAAGGATTTTGACTGTTTTTGATAGTTTAAAAGGCCAGGAAAATCTAATTACTTGGTGGAGATCACGATTATTTGGAGAACTATGGATGGTTTTGGATCTGGCTTAATGCATTATTTATTTCTAAAAGTAATATAATATGAAATTTTCACATAGGTTCGGGCTCTTTTACTCTTCCTTTCTGCAATCTGATTGATTTTCTTGAAATTTTTTGTTCCCAGTCCATTTTCGCTTTGAATGAGACTTAACTAGTTGTTGTCATGTCCTGAATCAGATGGCTTTCTTACATCTGAAATTATGATAATTGATAAGGTATTATAATCATTTGTTTTCATGGCTGCAGGCGCGTGATTCGTATTACAGTGGGAAACCGTTAATTGTAGATGACATGTTTGATAAAGTTGAGGTAGTCAATCATTCCTCCTACATGGAATTAGGAATATCTAATTGCCTGTAGCCCTATATAAAAACTGATATTTGTGCATAAAAAACATGCTTTTCAGTTGAAGCTGCGGAGGTATGGATCAAAGTATGTCGTGAAGTATCCCCGCTGCAGTCTCATGAGACAATCCACATATGCAGATGCTGAGGTACTCCACTCTAATGGACTCCTTGTCTCTCTCTTTCTTTGTTCTTATCTATCTATCCCTATACGAACATCCAGCTTAACCTTTTAAGAAATTCTCAAGCATTCACATAGCCTGGCGAAATATTAGCAACCTGCAGTTGGCTATGCATAACAACTTCATAATATTAAGAATGCTCGATATGGTATCTGAGTAAATAATTGATGATTCCAGCATTGACAAAGAAGTTTTTGAATTTTTTGGTATGAGAAAGTTATATGAATTTAATTTGTGTTATTGATAAGGAATGACCTGTATTATGGGCTCAATGGGTCTCATTTGCAAATGATGTTGTTTTTCTGGTTCAAAGAAGTTTGAGTATTTTGGTGCTTACCATAAAATTTCAGCAGCTACTAGGTTGTTTCCTCTTAATATTGTTATAGAAGCACTATTTTTGCATTTTCTGGAAATTTAAGTATGACTTGGGCGTTTATCTCTGGAGGGAGGGGGATCAGGAGGATCCATCACAGCTTTTTGCATTGGCAAGCATATGGCTCGTATTCCTTGCATTTGGCAGTTTAGCCTGTCTCGTACCCACCATCCATACTCTCGGTGTGATGTATAATGAGGATCCTTTTGGTTCAACGTTGGTTTTACATAGCCCTCAATCAGTGCTAGAATTTCCTGCTGCTCTGAATAGGGTGCTACTTGTGGGCTTGGGGTCTTTGGTTGGCTTTCCCATTTCATCAGCTGCTGGTATGTATGACATTTTAATTTTAGCTCTTTGAGTTCTTTTAGTTTCTTTGGTACAAAACTCTCTTAAGCATGTAATTTTAAAAAAAAATCTCATATGCAGTATTATTTGTGCCAACCCTTGGTTATGATTTAATGCATGATTTTTCTTTGATAGCTTTGAGTCAAGGTCTTAAAAACCGGTGATCCTGATCGGGAATTTGTTGGGCCGATCCCGATCCAATTAAACATTAGGAACTGGCCGGTTCTGTCAGAGAACCGGACGTTCAAATAGTGAACCAGGTTTGCACGCTTTTAAAATTTTTGTGAGTTTCTTATTTTAGAAAAAGCAGTGAAGTGGCCCATCCCCCTTATTTTCTCTCTATTTTTTGAAAGGTTATAATGTATTTTTTTAAACTTTAATACACCTTTGGATAGGTGGCCCACCACCACCCCATCCTATTGAGGAGACCGACAACTTGGCAGCCCATTCTTCCCATGGCCCTTTGTATAGGTTAATGCCTCCCAATCTTTCACCTTTCTCTCCGATGTGGGATTTTGTTTTGCCGCCCCTTCAAAATCTATACTCCTTCAAAGAGGGAGTAACCTATGGACACAATTTGGAAAATAAAGGTGTCTAGTTATAAAGTGCCTTATATAAAATCGCTAATGGTTTTTTAAAAAACTAACTCATTACAGTGCCTTATATACAATAGCTAGTTCGTAAAACTAGCTAATTCGAGGCATAATGTCATAAAATAGCTAATTCATAAAATAAAGGTGCCTTATGTAAAATAGCTAATTCTAGACATAGTCGTACAACTAGCTATAAATTAGCTAATGGTATAAAACCAAGTCATGATGTAAAATAAAAGCAGTTTATTTTGAAATAAAGGGTGTTTTAAAATAAAATAAAAGCAGTTTTAAAATAAAGCACATTTCAAACTGAGACATGGTTGAAATAGGCTAACACCGAATTAAGGAGCATAATTTTGGAAATTGGCAAGGTGAACAATGGATTCGCCTAATGGATGGTGAAACAAATGATTTTTTTTTTCTTTTTACTGTATTAAATAACTTATTGCATCGTGTAAGTCATGGACTCATCTAAACCACTATGGTTATAAGTTCTTTTTTTTTTTTTTAATAATGTGAATGTAATGGTTAACAGACATCCAGACAAGGAAATGACGTCTCAATATTCACATTTTCTGTGAAATAGTGAAAGTACATAATGCACTACTCCCAAAGTTTTTTGGGAAACATAAAAATTACTAATTTTAGGGATTTTTAGTGATTTTTTTTTTTTAATTTTGAGCTGAAACCTGCCAATCCAGCTGATTCTCCAATACAGATTAGCGATTCACCAATCTGACCCAATTTTTGGGGTGGCCGATCCGGGTCACCAATCCGTTTTTTTAAACCTTGTGGATGCTGGAAAGGGCACAAGTACACTTGAACGGTTCAAATTAGAAAGAAAAAACATGGACAGCCACGACTAGATATTGTATTTTAATTTTATTTATTTATATTCTACGAACTAGATTGACATTAACTTTTGAAGGTAGTTGTGCCACACTCAGGTGCACTTAGAAAATATAAAAAAATATTTTTAAATAATAAAATGATGAAATTACTCTTGAAATGTTTAGTGGCATTTTGGTCAATTTTTTTTTTGTAATTATTTTTTATATTTTCTAGGAGCGCAATGATTGAGGGTGTGGATGCTCAAAATTTCAAATTAATCCGATTTATAGAAAAAAGTTAAAAAATAAACACTACAAGCCAAATTTTCTTTCTTTTAATCTAAAATGTTGGGACCCGCTATACTTCTCCTACACCAAACTAAGAGAACATTATATTCATTTTTTTCTGGGGGCCTTTTAACCCTGTCATGGAGCTAAGCTGCTGCAACATGATTGAGTTTGAGCAATCATCGGAACAATCTTATATGTGATTTTCTCTTGTCTATTGTGTAGTTCCTACAATACACTATGGCAGCCTATGTTCTTCGTTATAAGAGGAACCTATTTTTTTTGCTTTCTTGTCCAGTGGCTATACTGCTTAAAAAATCATTTTAATTGCCATTATAAATTTCTTAATGGTGTACTATCATGCATATGTATGATGTAAGTTTTTCATGTTCCAATTAAATTGTTCTGTAATGCTGAGAATGGTTTTATTCTTCAGAGGAATGGGTTTTTGTGAACTTTATCTAGGAAGCGATCATGATCGGGCTTAAATATGTATCCATTCAAAATTTCAAGACTTGATGCAAATGACAAGTTCAATAGTGATCTGAATTTATTTAAACGAGCATTGTATGCAATTGAGAATAGGAGGCATGCCCCAACAAAAATGCGGCGAGACCTTGTCAGTGACTCAGTCTTTGATATTTGAAGCAAATTGATTGTAGCCCTGGGTCATCTTATAGGCTAATTTCTGTATGCAATTGGGTGCGCAGTTGAACTACTGATACGCTGAAATGAAAGTTTTGCTCTTTCATTATACCAGCCTCTCTTTTCTTCCTTGTATGCCGTATACATGTGTGTTTTAAGTTTCATATAAAATTATATTTGAATATTATTTGCTTAGTACCGTGAGATATGTTGACAGTGAAAGCCCTTCAAGGTCTTTGGAAGAATGATTTGGTTGCTCTGAAAGGCTGCTGTCCAAATTGTGGAGAAGAGGTCAGTCATTCTCAGAGTTCATTAATTGATAGACTTTTGTTTTTTTAAAAAAAGTTATTAACCACGGCTTTATTGTACATAATTCATAGGCTTATGTCTTTGAATTGAACACTTTCTTGTAGGTATTTGCATTTGTGAGAGCAGCCAAACCGAAAGAACCCCCACATAGGACCGATTGTCACGTATGTGACTCCTCTCTGGAGTTTCGCACAAAGGTAGAGGTATGATATCCTCATATATCTGCAACAAAATCATGCAAAGAATGGTTTTTTAGTTTTAGGCAATGTTAACTCATCTGAGTGAGAGGTATATTAGGACAATTATAGAAACCCATCAGTCAATTTTGAGACACGAGTTGACTTAATGACCATCCTTATTATTTGATAAAAAAAAAAAGAACAGAGCCACTTTATCTGGATAGCTACAGTTGATGCCATGCCAATAAAATTCACATGTAAACATGTATGCACATGCAAGCATGCATAATCTACAGGCAATCCACAAGCATGTGCCGGTCACGTGTGCTGGAGCCCTCAAAAAGGCTTATGCTTTAGAGTGGCTCAAGCTTAGTCCTTTGACATGAAGCAAAGAATTTGTTCTTCTTATGATAAAAAATAGATAAATTGCGTTCGCTGATCCAATTTTTCCTTTGAAGATGATCCCGAAACCTCTTTTAGGTTTGCAAGGGCTGTTTGAGCATAAAAGAAAAAAATCTGGGAAAAGTAAAATGCACAATCTTCCTAACTCGATCAACCAATGCCTTTTATCTCAACTTTAGTATGGTTTAGTTTGGCCTAACGAAGTCTAATACTTGGTATGATAAACATTTATGTCAGAGCCCAACAATAATGTTATTGTCAAGATTAATCAGAGTTAGAAAACATTTCTTGAGGAATACTGTTGAAGAAACCATTTGTGTTTGTGTGAGAGACAGAGATAGAGAGCACAATAATGATCAGAAATTGTTGGAGAATTTCGGATGTGTTGAATATATTTCGAAAATTTGAAATACACTTTTGAAAGGTCTGAAACATTTACTGATTTAGTTTTCTCAATGGTACTTTATACAGGAATCAGCTTCGAAACCCAGAAGCCGGTGGGTTTATGGCCGCATTTACTTGCTTAAGCAGAACTCATAATCAAAGTCAAAATCAAAATCAGGGATGCGGCTGTAGTTTGCTTCTCTCACATTACCACAAAAATTTAAATGGAAGAAATAGAAAAGCTTGGTTATACTATTTTAAGCATTTATGTTTGTAAAGCTCTTCCTTTTTGTCCTTTTAGTGCATTGGTTGGATATTGAACTACCACATGAAATAGATGCTCCTGAGGTGTATAAATTTAGTCTTAGGGTGAAATTGATAGCCAAATTCTCATCCAAATTTTGCCTGAAATTAGTTGAAGCATCTGTTTTCGCCAGAATCTAGCTGGTCAGCTATGTAGCAAAGTTGGCACAATTTTGGTTGGGGGACATCACGTTTTTTGAGATTGGGATTCTGACTGAAATTATGGAAGAGTTGTGAATAAAAATCAATACTACCCTTTTGTAAAATGTTTGAAATGGTGGATAGTTATTCTTCTTGGCAGGCGGCTTCATCATATTGGGGCGAGTTTAGATTCATTGACCGTACCAACATTGAGCAACACAAATTTTCTTAGTGAAGCTAAATAGATTTAATGTGGTTTTTTCCAAACAAGAGGGTTTAAGAAATAGATGAAGACAAAAGGCGGGATTGTGGCAAAACATAATTAAAAGGGCTTATGGTTGTCAAAAAACAAGCAAGACCTACGTAGCTAAGCTTATGGGAACCGGGAAAATAATGACAATGGTGACATAGCTGCACTCGTGGATTGATCATTTGGCTTTATCGATCATATGTGACTCGATATTCTAGTTTTGGTATTGTATACTATTACATCGTTTACCATTATTACAAAGTCACAATTACTTCTAACCATTAGATATCAAATTATTAGATATCAAATTGTTATGAAGTTTGAAAATTTTATTTATGAACTTCGAATTTAGTAAATGATATACTTTCAACCTCCTGATTTAAAATTTGACAAATAATAAGTATGACCTTGTACTAAAATTGATATTTTTGTATACTTTTCCAAATATTTCTTCAAGTGTTGATACTGGTGAAGTATTCCCCGGATAAGTATACTATTCTAAAGATCTCTGTTAGTGTTGATACTGGTGAAGTATTCCCAGGATAAGTACTCTAGCACTTCATCTTCTTGAAAAAACACCTCCAGATCTCACCACTTTCCAACCTCTCCCTTTTATCCAGTACACATACAGCGGCTTGGGCAATGCAGTGCTCTCTCTCCAATTCACCTACACACACACACAAGCTGGGACAATGCAATGCTTTGGGGACCTCATCATCATGAAGAGGGCCAAATTGTTCTTTCCTACTTTTACTAAAATTTGATCCAAGTATTAACAAGTAAAAATCATACAAGGAATGTTGTCACAAGACAAATAAATGACAGATAGCACACAAGCTAAGAAACTCCGTACAAATTTTCTCCTCGACATGTAAAGGGCATTGAAAATTGATAAATGAGAAAAGAAAAATGAAAGAGAAAAGAGAATTGCCGGCCAGAATGGCTGAAAAGAGCCCATCAGAAGTTCGTGAGAAAAGAGAATTGCCCATCAGAAATGCGCCAAACTGTAAACCAATATCCAAGCGAGCTGTAACAAACACCACCAACAATAATACATGTCACAGAAAATGCACAAAAACACTGAAAACTAACAAGCTGGTGTGAAATCAGAGAGAGAGAGAGAGAGAGAGAGAGCACTAATGCTATTTGGGAAATATGTGGTCTACTCAAGTGGTGACTGCTACAGTTGTCTGCCCCCCCTCATTTTGGGGGCCCTAAGTTTGGCACATACATTCTCTTGGATGCAGTGAAGAAGCCCATGAAAAAACGTTCAGATAAAAGCCCGAAAAAGTGAAGAAGCCCATGAATAGACATTCAGAGAAAAACCCAAAAAGTAGTTTTTGGGAACTCGGTGAGCATGTGCAATCCACTTCATAGCCTACTAAGAACTAAAAAATCAATTTTCTTTTTTCTTCTAATTGTTCATCTGGTGATCATGGGGCAATCTACAAATTTGAGGTCAAACAAGTTCCCTATGTACCTTTTCTTTTTTTTTCTTTCCTAAAATAAATGGCTTGTGGTCACTAGATTCTTTCTCCTAAAAACTATTTCCCAAGGTTTTTTAATCAAATTTTCTTCATGAGCTTCTTTGCCATGTCCAAGAGAATGTTGGTGCCAAACTTGGAGTGGAAACCCCCAAATTAAGGATGGGCAGATATTACTGCGGTCTGCCATTGGGAGGATCAAATGCTTTCCCGGTTCATTTTAATCATAGAGTAAGAGAGAGAGAGAATCCGTACAGCTGTCACTTTAATCACTGAGAGAGAGAATCTAATATTTACAAAATCATAAAATACAGTCAAATGAGCTAAATAAGCAAATTCACACATGCTTACCAGAAAGAGGGTCAAGGATGCAAATAGGCCTTCCTGAAGAAGAGCTCCATGACCACCAAACTCTTCCTCATCAACTTTCAATACCAACGCATAATACCCGTAAATGATTCCTGATGACAGCACCAAGAAACTGAAAAACCAAAAGGAATTATTTGGCATATACTTTCTGGCCTGTACAATATCCTATAGTTAGTGCAAAAATAAACACTAAAATTAGTAAGTCATTAAAATGAAATATGACTTTGTTCCGAAGTACTATGGGAAACCATATATACCCTATGAAATCCATGAGATGAGGAATGCGGGGTTTGAGTGCATAGGATCTCATGACTTAATTGACTTATAAGTTATTTTTAACAGGTATTGATTTATAATATAACTACAGTATATTAATATTTTGATTTCAATAACATGATGCATCTTGTATGTACTACTCATTTTGAGGAAAAGGTTACATATGTATGACTCATTTTTTTATCAGTCTCTTATGTGTATCCGATTGGTACAAATTAAGACTCAAAAAAGAAATTCAATATTTTCCAGCAGTAAGTACTCCTCTACTGTTAGATAAGATATTAATTACCACCTAGGGTAGTCAGTAGTCATGAAGAGAAGGTAGTCAGCAAAGATCACTGAGAGCCTTCATGAATGAGGAAGGGTCAGATTTGTGAGATTTTTGAGTGAAAAAGGGTGAATTTTGTCCAAGGAAAATGAATCTAGATAAAAGCATGAAAAGAGCCTCTAAATTCTGAAGAGTATATGCATTCGTTTGATAAGAGAGAACCATTTTCAAAGATATACGTGTCGTACAAGTTTATAACAATCATAATAATATTTTGAAAGAATAAACTTACACGACAATCCATATCGCTCCTACCAAAGGAATAGCACCCCATAGCAATCCAAATATCAAAGCGACAACTTGCCTAATCCAATGCAAAACATCGCCAAGCTGGTCCTGCAGATAAAAATGCAAATCAATTAAACCATTGGCCGCAGCTTGTAAACAATATAAACAGCCAGTTCTATCTCGAAAGAAATGCACTAAAAAAGTAGCAACTATAAAGAACAATGCCATGACAAAATCTATCGATAGAAGATATATCACATAAATAATTTATTCACTGATATAATTGAAGTTGTTGTACTTAATCAACTGCCACCTATATGAGCTTTTCCCACAATCATATTGGATATCTCAATTATATATATATATATATATATAGCACTGTTGTATCCAAAGTAAACTGGTAGTGTGTTTGTTTTACCCCTACATAATAGAACTTCCCAGTGAGGCAATTACTCTTATGCAATAAGAATTTGACAACTTTGCACCATATCTAACAGCATATTGCTGAATAGGGTTACCATAATGACATGCTCTTGACCAGTGTATGGTAGATTCAACAAGAAGCATGACGCCAAGCCCAAAAAAAAAATTGAGTACCTTAACTTTCCCTTAACCCTTCCCAAGCCAGGGTAAAGGAGGTGGTTTGTCTTAGGTAGGCAGCAAGTGTAAACTTTTGCCAAAACTTTCCATGTATCTAAAAAAAGAATAAAAGGAGGACCTACTTCAGCAAAATGTCTAATGTTAAACAGTAGGAAGACCAAAGCACACTATTGGAGCAACTAAAACACTCTTTTCCAATATGTATGTATCTATTGGAAAGATTGACTGAATGAGATCTACCCAATGGTGTAAAAGAAGGTTATACACATTAATGATCCGAATAAGGGAAGAAGGCTGCACATTCATCAACATGTTTCCAGGAAATGTACATAAGGGACAATTAGAGCTTAATATACTGATGACAATCATGACATAAACAGTAAATCCTATGTGGATAACTATCCCATAGTGATTTGAGCGTTCAAGTACTCGAACTCAGACTCCATCATTGATAATGCAAAACTGAGTCAACCAACACGCTGAGTTAAATCTGGAGAGTTCTTAATTTTGGCAAAAAAGAACATTGTGTTGGCAACAGGATCCGAACATGAGATGAACTCTACAAAGGGGATACATAGTACCACAAAACCCATGTTTCATTGGGGTACTAACTCTGGGATATTTGATTTATAAACTAAAAAACTAGGCACGAAACCGAGTTGATTTGGGCAAGTAAAACCAACTATAAATGAGTTTTTACTACTAGTTCATAAATTAATAGTAGAGACCCAGTACCCGCATCTGCCAGCACGATCAACTTGCCAATGCCTTATCCTAGATCAATGTTAAAAAAAACGGAGGGGGCCGGCGCCCAGAAACACCTTCACAGGAGGTATGTCATGGCTGTAGTCTAGTTATTTCAAACATAGACATTTTTTTGTGCTACAGTTTACTTATTTCAAACAACAATATCCCAATCACTTCAAACCGACTTACGGTTTTTTAGGGGATTGGGGGCTAGATTGCCCTCACAAAACCCTTTTCTTCCCCTTTATTTTTTCTCTCAAGGGAGAGAGGAGTGCTTTTTTTCCTTGGCCAAGGGCCTTTTCCCACCCTCGGCCAAAGTTGTTCCAAGGTGAGGCCTAGGCAAAGTTTTGGCAGCCTAGGCGGGCGGGTGGGAGCAAGGACACCTGCCTAGGTGTTTTTGCTGCCTAGGCGACCAGAAGGCTGAATTTTCGAATTATGTCCGGGGGTAACAATCTCCAGAATTTCTACCAATGGTTATATTATGGGGCTTACACCATGCCAAAGCTCACAACTGGTAACCTAATGTAGTAAGGATTTATTTTTTAAAGTAATTAGTCAGTTCTTTACTTTTATTTTTGTAGAAATTCTAGGGTATTTAAGTCATCTAGTGTTTTAGAGGTTTTAAGAGAAAAATTGTGTTTTATCATTTTAGACGATTTTTAGGGTAAAGGGCGGAAATTGAATTGAGTTCATCATTTTTTTTTTTTTTTGTCTTTTTAGAAGGAACTCTTGAGGTGATTACGGTGCAATCAAAGAGAGATTGTCAAATCTCTCAACCTTTGGGGCGGACTGCCTCATTTTCTTTTTACTTTTTTTCTTGTCTTTTTAGAATGAACTCTTGAGGTGATTACTGTGCAATCCTAGACAGATGGTCAAATCTCTCAACCTTTGAGGGGGACTCCCCTATGCGTCCAAAGAGATGGTACAGTCTCTCTATCTCTATATTTTTCGCTCTTTTTTTTCTTCCATCTTCCAACATCATGTATTATCAAAGTAAACTGAGAACCATGGACCATGACACCCAGCAAAACCAGTGTTTGAAATCATAGACACAATGGATCAAAGGTGCAAGCATGTGAAAAACTAAGGATTTGCAATAGGACATTCAAGAAATGTCTAGCATAGTAAGGCAATATCTAGAATATACAAGATGTCATGAAGAGGTTGCTCACAATGTGGAAGGTCTGAAATCAATATCTAATCCAAGCAGTAATCAAAATCAAGACAGACTCCATTTGTCGAACTATATGCATGAAATAAAAGGGGTTGTGCATGAAAGAGAGAACATTTAGGCTGTTGATATTCCATAACTACACGCCCTCATCGTTAGGCCACAACTAAGAGAAATCATGTTCAGTCACAGCAAGTTCGATGCAGAAAAGGTGAAGATTCTTACTTGAACAAATGAAAAAGACAATGAAAGAATACTTTCAAATTCCTTAAGCTCAAGGGCAAGCTTCTCCCAACATCAGAAATAGATGTAGTTTGGGTTCCTTTTTCTGATGTGGTTCAGGTTGGTTCGTTACTTTGTTAGGAATCAATAGGGTAAGTTTTATATATTAATTTTCTTTGACATTTTGTTGGGAATATTTAAGCCATTTAGTGCCATAGAGATTTTATGAGCAATTATGTCTTTATATCATTCTAGGGGCTCTTAGGGTTTTAAAGTTTTCCTTTACAAATATATGACCTTTTGTAGAATAAAATTGAAAAAATTGATTTTTGTTTTTGGGTGTTGTGAAAAGATCTCTTTGGTGGATTTCCTTGCAGGCTAGAGAGGACCAAATTTTTCCACTTTGGGATGGACTCTCTTGCAGACCAAGAGAGAGGGTATAATCTCTCATCTTTTATTTTATTTTCTTTTTAACTTCTCAGTATACTTTTTGCCCTCCTTTCCTACATCACAATCAATATTTGGTGCTCTCATCCAATAATGAGTCAGGATCAATTGATGTCACGGAGAGTTGGGGTGTGCATGCAGCACCCAAACTCTGTTACATTTGACTGTTCTGTAGACCCTAAGTTGACAATGCTCTAAGCCTCTAACCAATTGCCAAACTACAAAAAAGGAAACAATATGTAGTAAATGATTCTCACAGGTTAAGACCAGTGATCTAAGACTCAGCCAAGTCCACTCGGACTCAGAAAAGTTAATCGGACTAGACCCGTTGTTGAGCGGAGTACTCAAGTAAAACTTGGGGTAATTAAAAAAATCATAAAAATTATGTTCAATTTTGTAAACAATGTATAAGTCTCTTATATATAATATGGATGTTCATGATGATGATTTGTGAGTTTTTCTTGTCATATGCCATGTTTTTATATTTTCCTCTTTTCTGGATTTTTTCTGAAATGTCTTCAGGTGTAAATTAATTTTTTTATAAATCCATGTTTGATATCTTTTTCCACCTTATTTGGAATTTTTATGTTGTTTTTAGTTTAGTTTGGTTTTACTATTTATATTTATTATTACCAAGTTTTTGAATTTTTAAATTTTTTGGGGCTTTTACAGCCCTGTATACAACTCGTACGAGTCCGAGTACTTGGCTCAGGCAGGGCCCAAGTCCCAAACCTGAGCAGAGTTTTGAACCTTGGGAATGACATACAAAGTGCAATGCGCCAGACACAAATGCCAACCCAGTTGCACCAAGTGTTGGATGACCCATCCCTTCAACAGTTGCAATGTGAGTGACGTGATATAAGTACTAAAATCATCACATCAGTCATGATCTCTAGTCAAGTAAAATAAAGATTTGGGTGTTCTCTTACCTCATAATAAACTGTAAGAACAGTAAGAAGGTAATCAATTTTTAAAATGTATCAAGTGGTTGACATATAGGATCCAAAGTATGAGCCTGAACATGGTTGTCTGAGCTAAAGACCCAAGTCCACAGGCCCCACCAAAATGACCACCGTCACTTACCCCAGGTAAAACCGATCCACCTTCTTACATTTTATTTGTTTGTGTCACACTAATTCAGTCAGTTCACTAGTTTAGATTTTAGAATTGGCCGTACAGCATAAAATCCAAGCTCCAATGGAATATATGCTCTTGTACGCCATGGATACTGCACACAAGGTTACAAAATATGCTTTGAAGTATGTCATGACACAGCATGAGAGATCAAGTTGGCGTCATGGTGTGGAAGGCTATCCACACAAAGGAATGCAAGTTTTGATTCCCCAACTTTGCATGAGATGTAAAACGAATATGAGAATAACATTTTTTTTGTTTATCTTTGTTAGTAAAGTATGCATAGAAGAAACTTTGACATATATTTGAGTTACGAAAAGGCATGCATTTAAGTTGCACCTAAGGTGCACCAAAACTGATTTTGGCAAGAGTAAGTTGGGCAACTTAACCAGCCTCAAGCCCAGCTAGGGCGGTAAATCGAACGAAATTTGAAAAGAGATCTCTGTCCAGTGGTGTTGGAGAAGGCAAGACGATCCTCCACAATATTGGAAATCCCATGTCTGTTCATTGTTTCTTGGTGAGCCCACCAAATTACAATACACAAGTCATCTTCCAAGACCATGCACCCTATGAAGCATTCGCGAAATACTGGGTTACATGTTAAGAGAGCTTTCACTTCCTAAACCGATTTTTCAATAGCCAGTAGGCACTAAAAGCAACTCCCCAAAGTGCTACGCCTGAGTGTGCGCCCTCTCTTAGTACCAAGTTACCACAAGAAACATCACAAAATATGGGTTTTAGGAATTTTACACAAGGGCCTGTTGAGCGACAAATTTCTAAGACTCTGCACCACAATAGCCAATCACCTTCCATTCTCAAACCAAACTTTGGTTAAACAGAGATCCTCTCAAACAAGGGCTCAGGAAATTACAAAATCTCATTGGGAAATTGGAACCCATAAGTGCTAATGATGATCTGTGGCAACGATTTTATTCCTCCGTTCCTTTTATTTTCAAGTTAGGGTCTTGTCCTTGTCTTCTTATGTTACATGGTTAGCATATCCAGTAAATTCAGTTTTGTCTTACCAGCATAATAATTGGCAAGTATTTTTGAATCATAATCAACAGAAGGTACTAACTGGTATATACCAGAAAACGCACCAAAATTCAGGTAAAATATTTACAAAAAATACCACATGATATAGTTCGACATTTCTAAAGATTTATAGATTATGATGGGTGTCTTAAGAACCTTCAAGTCTCAATGCACCACAGGCCACAAATACTGCACTTTGCAATCAGCATAACCAATAATTATGATGAAATGACGGCAAAAAAATGTCCTCACCGCCCATAAGAAATAAAATAAAAACAAAAAACAATGTTAGAACCCAAAAGTTTGTCATTTATAATTACATAGGTACATCATTGAAAAATAATAAAAATTAGAAAAAACTTACAATATAACATAGCTTGGCTTCAAAATGTCATTAAAATTGTTGTACAAAGCAAAAAAGTTGAATAAAGCAAGTTCTCAGAAGCCTATAACACGAAGGCAAATATGTGGATGTTTTTAAGCAGCAAACTTAAGCACGTCAAACTTTAGCAGTAAAAGGAATCTCAAAATGGATTAATCACCCAACACCAGCTGGTCTCTGATTACAATCACAGCAATGATTAAAAGCAAAAAAATTGATTTACCAATATATTATCCTAAATCCCTAATAAATGATCAGATGATAACACCAGTTCTAAAACAATAATAAAAGGTTATCTATGTTCCAGAATTCAGATATTGCAATGACAATATAATACTTTACAACTTATGGAGTAAGAAACTAATCTTATTACACAAAATTTTGTCCTCTATTAAGCTCTTGAAAAAAAAAATTGTAAGGAATACCTAAATAAATTTCTTCTATTGGACACGACACAGGTCAAACATGGTAGCCATGTCTGTTTTTCAAAACCTAACTACACATGCTTTATACTAAATAAAGAAAACATGCACAAATATAAAAGGAAAATTCAACCACTAACACTGAAATTCATCCTTTAATCTGCAGGTTGAACTTGCTTTGCCGTATTCCTTGATTGGAAAGGCTTCCATAAAATGAGAAATACTTCTCCCTATTTTAGGACTCTCAGAACCAGTGATCATCCCAATACAAAAACCAGAAAGCAATTTTGTATATCCTCCTAATATTGATGTAAAAGCGTGATCAATGTCCATTACTTATTTAATTGAAGAACAAAAGCCATAATTAAAACTACCCGCCTAAATATTTCAATAATAATGATCACGAAACACAGGGTCCCTTCAGTTCTTAGCTAAAACCACAGTTTAAGTTCATTTTTTTAAAACAAACAGTGGAATTTACAGGAGAAAAAGATCAATATCATGTAATACTGCTACGAAATCACAAATCAAGCTCACTTTATCTAATACCAAAATCTACGCTCCTACTCAATAAAATAACGCAATATACAAATTAAATATCATCCATCGAAAGATCAGGGTTTAACCGATCTAAAATCCACCGCATATGTTCATTTTGTAGCTAAACCACTATTTATGCCCATATTAAATCAAGAAATACATGCGAAAAATTCTAGAAAGCATACCTTATCCCATGAAGCTTCTGGATCTAACAATTTACCCATAAAGAATGGGGAAACGTCTCCATTGTGCTGGTGTTGCTGTTGCACATGAAGCTTCGAAGATTTGCTTTCCTTCATGCTCGAAATACTAGGGTTAAATCCTTAAAGGAGGGAAAAAACAAGAACTACGGGGTTCAAAGAGCACTTCTCATGGCGCTTCTTGGGTCTTTTGGAGAAGCATGGCTAATGGCCTCGAATTGCAGAGAAGTGAGGACTGCTATTCTGCTCAGACTAGTAGCCTCGGTTTTAGAGAGAGAGAGAGTGTGTGTTTTAGAGAGAGAATGAGAATTTTAAAAGAACCAGAGTTTGATGCAAAGTTGTATTCTGTTTATTTTTTGTTTTACGGTAGATCTGGAATCATTACCGTTCGGCTTTAAAAATGAGTTCTTTCAATTTCCATTCGATGCGAGTTTATATCCACTCATGATTTTCTATATTCCTTTTGTACTTCTTATTATTTAAGCAAAAGATTAACACAAGGCCAATGCTTCATTAAAAAATGGGAAAATTTTATATAAGGTTACAACCTTAAAAGGTAGAATCACATGTGCACCTCAATAATCTATCAGAAATGTTGTTTTAATGTTGAATAAACCCTCTAATCAATCATCTCGACATTGAGATGTATGAATATGAAAAAAAAAAAAATTTTGAGGCTTGAAAATAGTGCATCTTGCAACACATTATCTAGACCGTCCATTTTCAAGATTTTCATATATTTATGAATCTACTTTATTTTAACTATTTTTTAAATTTAAAATTTTCTAATTAGGTATGAAAATAGATTTTAAGATAATATTAAGAAGTTTTTATAACAAAACTACATGTTATGATAAAATTTTAAGGTGCACCTTAATTGGATTGTTTAAGATTGCATCCTTATAGAAACCGCAACCAAAAAATTATATAAGGTGTTAATCATATATTTTTTAAGCAAGGTATACCTCGAAATTCCTTTAGAAGAGAGTGGTCCGATATTGGGAAACTCTACACTTGATTTAACCTAAAAACTTATGGACATGAACAAGAAAAAGGATTTCAAGTCCTTAAAATAATGCATTATGTTACTAGTTATCCTTATCGTCTATTTTCAAGATTTTCAAATTTTTGTAGATTTGCTCGATCCGTACAATTTTTGAAATTTTAAAATTTTAGAACCAAAATACATTTGTAAGCCATTGTAAGGTTTATAATACCAAAACTAAACAAAATTTAAGGGCACGCCTTAAGGAAGACATCTTATACAAACCTTACCCAATAGATAATAAGGAAGTCAGTCAATGAACAAAAATAATAAAACTTACAAAAATAATCCCATTTTATTATTATAATTTTAAATTGGTACCACTTATTTTTTGTTTTATGCTCATGTCTCACATATCTTGAGCGAATATAATACTTTATTTTTATTTTTTAGGTATTGGATTAATCTCAAATTTGAGATATCCATACTTTTTTGGGCAAGATTTATATGTTCCCCCTGCCACGTAGAAATTCTGTCCTCCCCCTACCTTCCAGCCATCCAATTTTGATCAATATAGCCACTCATCGTTTGATCTTAGATCCGACGTCTCAAAGTATTTTATTTTTTATACAAATTGTATGAATATGAAATTTGGTACGTGCCATCTTCTCATTGGGGCACATCTATAAAAAATATTAAAAATAAATTTTTGATAAACTATAATGACCGAAAGATCGTTTGAATATTTCAAAGGTATTTTGGTCATTTTGTTTTATTGAAAATATTTTTTTTATATTTTTTTGTTAGTGTGAGTTTAATAGAAGAATGGACGTCCAAATTTTGGTGTCAAAACAGGTTATAGAAAAAAATTAAAAATAAAATAACGTAAAGATGTGACATTGTGACAATCTTAGCCTTCCATTCATAATAGATAATTGGATAAGGGGGATGATAGAACTTCTATGTTGTAGGGGGTTCCACTTTTTTATTATCATGCACTTGTAAAAAAAATTTGAAATAAATAAATAAGCAAATTATCCCTAGAATTCGTATGAGCATTTGATTATTTTATTTTATTAAGTTATTTTTTTAAATTACAATTGCATTATGGTAAGAAGCATAAAATCTAAAATGTGAGCCTAATCCAACGCACAGAAATAGATAAAGTTAAAGCACAATGCATGCTATTAAAAGCGATACTTCTTCGTAAAACATAAAAACAGTAAAAAAAATAAAAAATTTCCAGGCTTTGGTAATAAAAAATGAATTTTTCATAATAAATAAATATAAGAGAGAAACATGATTATTTATGAGATCGCATGTGCATTCCCAAAAGCAGCAGCAATGCATTGAAATCAAACAGCATATCGGTACATGGGAAACAATAAATAAAAAATAAAAGAAAATACAAAGTTTGCTTTATTAAAGTTTAAACAACAAAATAAATTATTCGTGATATTTATAGTCCTAACTATAATCTAACAATTTTATTATCTTTTCTTCTCTTGTTTTATATGAATGTGCCTGCACAATTTTATTATCTATTCTTCTCTTGTTTTATATGAATGTGCATTTCCATCATTTTTTAATGGAATTTTTGTACAATAATCAAGATGCAACTGTCCTTTGAGTAAAATTATGATCCATATATAATGTCATACTAACACCATATTCATATGGGATTTAGTTTTGAGTCCACATGCTGTGGAGGCTTAAATGCTTCAGATTGAACTAACCTCATCCAAGGGTCAAAATTAAATTTTATTTTTTATTTTAACTATTTTATTTAAAAATTTAAGAGTGAAATTGGGGTTATAACTTCACTTTTATTAGCATAATTTAATAAAATTAATAAAACTGTTTTACATGAGCAATATTGATCGAAGTATTGAACTGCATTTAGGAGTATTTTGGTTATTTTTTATTTAAAAATTAATTATTTTATTTAGTTTTATTTGTAAAAATACACATACACCTTAAAATCTAGATAAATATATTATTTAAATAAAAAATATGGGACTAATTTTTAGCCATTAGATATGGCCTTGTGAAATCTCAACCATTGGAAAGGTGCTTGTGCACCACTCCACCCGTCTACATGATGTGGATGGAATACTTTTCCTATCCATAAAAATTATTACTGCATAAAATGTGATAATAACACCATATCCATAGAGGTTATCACTGTCCATTAATTAGACACACGGTGATTGTAGGAGGGTGAGTCCCACCAAACATGGAGTGGATAAAGTGTTATGCCTTTATCACCGTCGAACCTATGGCCTGGATGATGATAGCACTCATGGTCATGCGGTATAGAAAACATCTATGACTATCTACTACACTTTGCATGGCATACTTCCCCTACAATTAGTAGCGACCCCTTAGTGACACTTATCTCCAATGATTTTTCTTCTTTCTCCTTCTCTTTTTTTTTTTTTTAAAAAAAAAAAAATATATATATATATATATTATTTATTTTATTTTCAAGATAGTTTACGATATTGATAATAGCCTTGAGAATATCATGGTAAAATCTATTTATTGTAGTATTTTAAGTTTTTTTTATGTTATTACCATGATAAAAAACATGCTGTAATAGGAAGCAAAATTAACAAATCGAGTTTAATAAGAAATATGTCATACTTTTAAAAGGGTGAGGCTTGTATAAGGTTGTGACCTTAAACAATCCGAATAAGGTTGGAACCTTATGGAAACCAAACCCTAATTTTTTTCCCTTATTTATTTGCAGTTTTTTATTTTAACTAGCGGTTCCTTTGAAATGCATCTATGCATTTCCCAAAATTCCCCCCGTTGTTCCCTAATTCCCCCACAACTTGGAAACCCCATCTTCCTAAACAAATAAACAAAAAAAATAAAAATTGAATAAATGTTAAAAAAGTAGTTGGAATAAATGTTTTTTAAGGATACATCAACAACTAATAGCATATATGCCTATTCAAAATGCGAAAACATGCATAATGTTATATTTATGAATTGTCTACAAAGAGTTACTTTTACAACCACCCGTTATGAAATTTAAGAGATAAGAATGATTGTGATCTCCATGTACAAAAGATAAACGGTCTTCTTGTAAATAATCCCTTATATTTAAAAGAATAGTCGGCTTAAGTCTTATACTTTTATATTATCAGTAGGATTGCACCTTGAATCTCGCCCTCAAATTGTAATTTTGGGACTGTACAACCCTCAAATTAATAATTTCGACCTCGATAATTTGGATTTGATAAAAAATAAATTTAAAGATTTGAAAATAACGTATCTTGTGGCATATTATATAGACCACCTATTTTCAAGTGCTTATATATTCCCTGGGTTTGTACCATTTTTTAGCTTTAATTATCATTATCAGAAACAAAAAGAGAATTTTTAGACAATGATAAGGGTTTTCAATGTCAAATTTGCATTCTCTTTCACGGATTCAAAGGGCACCTTTAGTTTTATACATCCGGACTTGATCTTACACTAACCTCTACGAAATGTATCAAATATCAAATCATTTGTTTTAAATTTTTGAGTAGTTTAGTGGAGAAGAAATTTAATGAAATTTTGCCACTCTGACTGCTTAGCCCGGAGCCCAATCTTCTGAATCATTTTGATATGAAATTTCATCATTCGTGTTTGTAAGAGATGTGTAATACCTGCTTATAGTTTATGCTTAGTAACAAAAGTTGAGCCTCTCATTCATTTGAGCTTTCTTGAACTACGTGACACTGATTGTGGATGAAGTCCAAAATAAACTTTTTTGAACCATGTGACATGTTTTAAGTTATCGAATGCTACAATTGATAGTTAAAAGTAATTGTGACCTCCTCGTAGCAAAAGTAAATGATCGTATAATATATGTCCCCCATTTTTAAATACCAATGTAGCTTAATGACAAGATGACTACTAGCCTTGGCCGGTTCCCATGAGCCACAATCGCTCAACCATTCAAGCTCATCCCTACACATTCTCTTGATCATTGCCTTAATTATACTTGATAGCATTTGGTTGGTCCAATCTAGAGCAAAAATCAAATTGATTTAAAATTGGTGGAAATTGATTTTCGCAACCAATTGCCCTATTTGTTTTTCTAGATTGACTAAATAAAGTTGGGTAATCCACTTTGTAAAACATTAGTTAACTTTATTTTGGTAATTTGATTCATCCCCCATATAGTTTTAGTGGTCGGGACAATACTGATTTTGAAAGTGTACATAGTGGCCCATTTAAATATGGGGAACGATTTCATATTACCGTGTCATTGTAGTATAATGAAACCACACTTCTATAAAACTATGTTTGTAGCATTTATATGATCCTAAAAATTACACACCCTCTCTTCGTCCCAATAATCAACCCTAAAAAAATAAGATTCAATTTACACTCTAGATATGCTCAAAATGAGCCCCATTCCAACAACTAATCTGACTATCCATCTGGTAAATTTCAAGATCTAGGCTTTTAGAAACTCATAATCAACTTTTATGTTTTTAAGTTATTCACCTAATAATAAAAAAATCATCAAAAAGTTTTGACAAGGAAAAAAATCAATTTAAGACTCAGACCTAAGCGTCTCATCAAAATAAACGGCCTATATTAATTGAGCTAAACATAATGTTTTCTAAGGTGTGTTTTCAAATTTTTATTTTTTGTGATCATTTATAAGAAGGAAAAGAGTGTATATTTAAAATTGGACCTGGTTTTTCTATGTGGGCAAGGCCGCATATGTAGAAATGTGGGCCTATTAATAAACCTATTTTTAAGATGGATTTCTAGACTTAATTTTTAAGGACATGTAATCTCCAACATGGAGATCAAGAATATAAAAAAATAAGTAAATTTAAATAATTATAAATAATAATTATAGTAAAAAAATACATTTGAACCGTTAGTTTCGATTGTTTTTAGATGGAACACCTACTTGTATCCATCTTTAAGATGGATGATTTACACTTTTTGGATTGCATATGAAGTCATGCGGCACAACCTATATGAAACAATTTTTCTTTAAAAATTGAGGTGAAACAAATGGCTCTAATACGTATTTTTAAGACTATTTCATTATATAATCCTACTTTTACATGTAATCACTCCCCAATTTGAGGAATGATTTCATGTCACTGATGCCCGATGCAGTTGCAACTCAATTTATTGGATAGTGAATAATAACACAAACCTGGATAATATTAAAAGAACCATCATATGGAGGTCACAATCATTATCTCATTAGATGTCAAATTAGATTGTTTGGGGTGAGTCACGAAGTTCGACAATTTTTTTTTAGAACTGTGCGTGTATTCAATGATACTCTTGCAAACACTCATTTCGAACTTTAAGGGACAATAATGATTGTAACCTCTATGTATAAAATATAAATAATTTCTTTATAGACAATCCCGTTATAAAAAAGGTGCGGTTTGTCTAGAGTCGAGGCTCTAAACAATTAAATTAAAGTGCACCTTCGAATAGTATTGAGAAATGTGGTTTCAATACTGTAAATCTTTATAATAGCTTTAAAATATATTTTCATCTTTAATTATAAAATTTAAAGCTTAAAAAATAGTGTAAATCGAGCAGATTTATGAAAACTTGAAAATAGTGCAAATTGGCAATCAAAAATTGCAGTACAAGGGGCACTATTAATTACAAAAATTGACATCCATTTTTTTCTCGTGTCCATCCATCTTGATATTGAGATGATAAATTTGAAGATATTTGGGCATCAAAACAACTTTTTTAGTGAAATTTTTGAGGCGGCCTCTAATTTAATTGTTTAGAGCCTCGGCTCTATATAAACTTTTTCTTTATATATTTCATATATAAGGACCTCGAGAAATATTACCAGGCGCAAACCCAGATTTGGACCCGGACCCTGATTGTCCCGGGTCAGGCCTGAGTCCATTGCCACCGCTACCTCGGGTTACTCTTCCGGCCTGGTTACCGTGCCGATCTCAATCATTGCGAAATTTTGAGATCTTTTAACCCTGTTTATAAAACCGCGTGATTTTCCCTATTGGAGCCGAGATTTGCAATTTCGCCGCAATGACCAGACTTTTCGGCCCTGGTTGTCAAACCGAAACCATAATTTTAAGAAGCTTCGCCTGAATATCGAAAAGAAAACATTGCGTCTTTGACTTCGTTTGCCAGCACATCAAGTCAAAACATTCCTCCCAAGCAAGTGCTTTCTAGAAACGGTGCGGTTTGTATCCGAGGCTCTAGGCAATCAAAGTAAAGCGCACCTTCAAATAGTGTAGATAAATGTGGTTTTAATATGGAAAACCTTTGTAATAGCTTTAAAATATATTTTTAAATCTAATTATAAAATTTAAAGCTTAAAAAATTATATAAATCGAGCAGATCCATAAAAATTTGAAACTATTGAGAATTGATGGTCAAAAATGCATTACAAGATTCACTATTTTCAAAACTTGAAATCTATTTTCTTTCTCATGTCCAAATGTTGAGATAATCATTTTGAGGATATTTGAGCATCAAAACAATCTTTTCTAATGAATTTTTTAAGGGGGGCTCTAATTTGATTATTTATATCCTCGGCTCTGTATAAACTCTTTCTTTTTTATTGCTTAGACTCTCCGCGAAAGTACATCTTGAAATCGCTTAGAAGAGAAGTGCAAGAGAACCTTCAAATTGTTCATCTTGACATGGATATGGATATGAATATTAAAAAAGTATTTCAAATGCTAAAAAAACACATATTGTGTAGCATGTTATTTGAATCGTTTATTTTAATATTTCCAAGTTTTTATAGATTTACTCAGTTTGTACTATTTTAAAAAATTTAAGTTGTATGACTTAGAATAAAAATAGATTTTCAAACCATTGTAGAGTTTTTGACATTGAAACTATATCTCCAAGCAAATTTTAAAGACGTACCTTAGTTCTTCAATATAAGGACAGCACTTTATACAAAACTCACCTATTTTTCTTTGTCTTTTTTTTTGTTGGGTTGGGCCGTGCTGAGCTATGGCCCTCTTTGGCCCACTTAAAGCCAACCCCACAGAGAGGCGAGCACAGCACAAGCCCATTGCTACCCCTAAAACTCCAATATATAGAAAAACGTAAAATTGGGAAATGGGTATTTGTATAAAAATCTATTTGCTATCACCACCCAAATAGGGGTCGTACCAATGCTGTAAGAACTACAAACTGATGAACTAGTTGATAGACCGGTCCTGTCCGGCACATATTGGACCAGCAATGGAGCAAAGAATTTCCCAACCCTTTTAACAATGTTATCAATTAGAAGGAGAAAGGGTTGAGTAGCTTTTTGCGTATTGAGGGTGATTCTATCAATGTTATCAATTGATGCAATTGTTTGTCTGCACCACTGTCGCGGCTTAAATCTCTTTGGTGGCAAGTAATGGATTTAGCAGGTGGAAGCTTTTCAATTATATTTACATAGAAGCAAACCTAATTGCGAACGCTTTAGCAAAGAAAGTGGCCTTTTTTAGATTCTTTAGTTGTTTTTCCTTTATTGATTTAATATTTATACCATTGTACCAGTTCTTATGATCTAACAATGTTCATTACTTCAGTTAAAAACAAAAAAATTCGAAACATGGGTGGTAATAGGAGATGCAATTCTAATTCCACAAGAACATGGGTGCAAATAGCAAAAACGTGGGTGTAAAATTCAAATAGCAACTCAATTTCGAACAATCAAGTTCGAACGTCGATGTGGAATGCCGACTCTGTCGGCCAAAGGAAGAATCCCAGCCGTCCAATGCCACATAGATAAAAGAAGGATGCGGTTTGTATAGAGCCTAGGCTCTAAACAGTCGAATTAGAGTTTACTTTTAAAAAGTATTGAAAAATGTAATTTTAATATTAAAATTTATTATGAAGGTCTTAAAATATATTTTTATATTTATTTATAAAGTTTAATAGATCTATAAAAATTTGAAAATTTTTAAAATTGGCAGTCTAAAAATGTGTTTCAAAGTATACTATTTCTAAAACTTAAAATTCATCGTTTTTTTTATGTTAATGTTTTTGATGTGGAGATGATCCATCTGAAAATATGTGAGCATCAAAACAATGACATTTTTGAAGTAACGTCAAATTTAATTGTTTGGAGCCTCGGTTCCGTATAAACTTTTCCCCGTAAAAGAATGACAATTACACTCCCGTGCTTACTGCCAAATTACGAGATTGCCATTCCCCTTGATTCCGAAGAACAGAGCTCAAAAGTATCCGCCAATCCTAAAAATGACTAAAATACCCTCATTTAACAAAAAAACAAAGACTTAATTGACCGTACCGGCAGGACATGGTGCTGGCCATGTGCCCTCCTTCTTCTTCCCCTTGTAAATACCGACCTTCAATTCCTCCCTAAATTCCAAATTCCTTTAAATGGAAGAAGCGCCTAAGCCTTTTCTCGGTCCTCTGCATTTTTTTCCCCTTTTAATAACCCCGTTCTCTCTCTATTATTTCAGCGACTTTTCTCTCTCCTCCTCGTTGTTCGAATCTGTATACCTTTTTTTTTTATAAATTGAAAATTTGGTTGTAGTTTTTTTGGATTGAAACCAGTGTTATTGGGCTCTGATCTTGCTTCTGAGAATTGAATTTGGGGATGAAGTTTTTGTGATCCTGGTGAAATCTATTGGTTTTGGAAGAATTAGGGTTTATCAGAGATGGGTTCGAAAGAACAGAAGCAAGGAGCTGGTTTTTTTGCCTCAATTATGTCCAGTGTGTCGAATTTTGGCAGCGTCATGCATAATTCGGTTAATGGGTATGTGCACCATCTATATATCTCTCTTTATATGTGAAGCAGGATGAATTGTAGAGTTTACTTGTATGCCTAATGAAGAAAAACAAGATTGACTTGTATGGCTTGATGGGAAAAGAGGAAAATAAATTTTTTAGTTGTATGGCTCTCTCGAGTGCATGTGCATTGCGCTGTTTGAGTACCAGTCATTTGCTAGCTCTGTATTGGGTGGGATACCATATATACTCATTTGCTTTTCAAATGGGTGCAAATATTGTTTTTTCTTTACTTGTATTGGGGAAGAAACCAGTTGTCTTGATTTATGAATATGAATGACATACAGTGGTTGGCTTATTCTCATGGAATTATTAATAAGGTTCAAACATTCATCTATTTCTTCTCACAAATTGACCTTTAAGATTGTTTTGGTTACAAGAAAATGAGTGATGGTCAGGGATCCTTTTATTCAAATTTCTTGCCAGTAATCCTAATATGACTTTTAATTATCACAATGGCGTGTTTGTTGTTGGTCTTTTCTTGCTATTCATTGTTTGCTTGCTTAATAGGTTAATTTAGTTCTGCCCATTCTGACAGAATTTTGGAACCTGGAAGTCAGGATTAGAAATTTTGTATGTTAAGTTATTTAATATGCTTGAGATATCTACAACAGTTATTTGAAATTTCATTTTTCATGAATTATCATTTTTTCCTCTGCCAGATTGTTAGGGTATGAAGGACTAGAAGTGATAAATCCTGAAGGAGGAACAGAAGATGGTGAAGCAGAAGCCCAAAGGGGGAGATGGAAACAAGAGGTGCTTAATTTTTTCCTTAAATTGGTTACTAAATTACTTGATATTGTTCACATTAGCATCAGCTTGTTTGGATTTTTTCATTGTCAAAACTCATGACATGCTTGGGTTTTTTGTGGCGTAAACAAATCAATATTTGGAAGGTATGCAGAATCCAGATGGAACTTTTACATCATCTTGTGTAAGGTAATTGGAAATGTATTGAATGAAACTATGTTCAAAAAATGAAATAAAAAAAGAAACTAGTCAAGAGTTATAATACAAAAATATAGAGAAAGAAAGCAAATTTTTAACCCCTACATGATTTGTAATTGTATTCCCTGTCATCTCGTCTTCTGTTACATCTCCCCTTCTGTGCCAAAGTGAGAAAGCTCTAACTGCCTACACACAAAAAAGCACAAGAAAAAAAATCATGAAAACAGAAATAGAGATGAATGTGAAGCAAATTTTTCTTAAGTGTAAGTCATTATTGTATTCTGTTAGTTAATCCATCTAGAAACTCTGGAACAAGGAATTCCCATAATTCATAGGTGAAACTACATGGAAATTCTTTTCTTAAGAAAAAAGAAAGTAAAACTCATTCTTCCTAAGAGAAGTCCTACAACTTTGTGGAAATTCCACGAAGCAGCAGATAAATATCCAATGACTAAGAGGTGAGGCAATAAAATAATTATGTGATTTTGGGTTTCAAATATGAAGGGGTTTCCTTATTTTGGGTTTTAAAGAAGAAACCTGGATATTTTTTAAGAGATAAGAAACTGGGAAAAAAAAAATGCAGGGACTGCCTCAAGCTTGCCCAAGTAGGACTGGCAGTGGACCCATACCTGACCCGGGACCTGGCAGGTATACCTGATTCGGGTCTGGGTATGGGTCCAAGTTTTGGACCCGTGGGTAAGGTCTGGGTCCAATATAGCATTCCTAGTCTCGTGTCCGGGTACGGTCCAACAGGACCCGAACCATACCTGACCCGTATTTATTATGTTTAAATTAATATATTGTTTTATTATATATGATTTAAGATAATTGATTGTTAGTTATATTACCCCATCCATAACCATCCATTTAATTCATCGATTTGAACATTTTTTACCCACATCCCCACCCTTAAATCATTTCATCTTCCCCAAACCCCATCGTCAAGCCAAACCTAGCCATCGCCAATGAAACACTAGCCAAACTCAAAACTCTGCTGACTGCTCTGCTTCCTAGAGAGAGAAGAGACAAGCTCACATCACATGTCCCTTCTTCATAGCAGAGAGCCCTATCTTCTCAACCCACCCGTCGCCAAACCCTAGCCTCCTCTGCAACTTCGGCATCTGGATCTGTGTCTTCAAGGATTTGTTTCCAGCTGCGGTGCCAGAAAATCATCTGCGGTGCTTTGGTTTAGAGAGAGTGGTTCCGAGCTCAGATAATGGTTTCGTGAGTTTGGAGATAGGGATCTTGGAAGATGGGTTTAGAGAGAGATTGGAATTGGAGTTGGAGCTGGGATTGGGGGAATATGGTTTGGAGAGAGTACTTTTTGAATTGGAAAAGGGGTTTAGAGAGAGAGAGAGAGAGAGAGAGAGAGAGAGAGAGAGAGAGTAGTACGTAGAGAGGTAGGTACGGTAGTACGTGTAGTCGTTGTTGTCGACGGTACGTAAGTAAGTAGTAGTAGTTACGTTAGTAGTAGTAGTACGTGTA